TATTATTGCTGCTTATACACACCAACTTTTGCGTTTAAGTGACGAAATTGAGCGCGAGAGACGGTTTTACGGAAAACGAGGCCGATCATTCTACCGCACGGTAATAACACGTCTTTGATGCATCTTTGCATAGATCCATTCAGTCTTGAACGGTGGGGGGCCGTCACCCACCCATCCACTTTTAGTACGCGGTCGACGTTACTTAAGTTCGATTATCGGAGAGCAAGTAATAAGTCCAACAGCTGTGACGATATTTTTCCAACTTATGCTTATGTAATGCATACTTATATAATTCCTTGTATATATTTTTTATATTGACCAAAGTGTGTTCCTATGCTATACAAGATATCCTAAAATAACCACCGTGCAAGAAACGAAAAATCATAAAATTATTGTACGTAAAAGATTTCAGGAACAGCTCGGCTGAAAATGTTCAAGTTTATTACACGTGAAAGGTTTCCGAGACAGTTCAATTGAAAAGTTCGCAAAATTATTTCATATGAAATGTTTCTGAGATAACTTAGCTGAAAGTTTTCAAGCTTATCGCACGTGAAACATTTCAGAAACAGCTCAACCAAAATGTTTGCAGAATCATTTCATATGAAACGTGTCATAAATAACACAACTGAAAGTTTTAGGAAATTATATTTGCGAGAAAAGTTTCAGAAACATTCCTGCTGCAACATTTCAAGTGACATATCGCAGAATTCTTTCGGAAATGTTGCACGCGAAATGTAAAAGATTGAGATAATTTTCATAGATTTCTGAGAGCTTTTCGCAACAATCGGTGCTCTACAGGATGAGTACAAGATGCACACGAATCATGTGTGCACGTTCTCGACGTGATTATGATTAACGTTATTAGATGAGATATTTTCCCATCACGACGTGAACGACATCCAAGCTCCACACAACATCGTTTTGCTGTCTGAGCTGTTTAAACTTTAGTGTTTCCTATTATACTCCAGATTTCCCTATATCAGGTTTACAACACCTTCGAATAAAGGTATGAACAATCTTCCTTCGTTATAACGTATATAATAATAAGACGGACGATCTACTTTCAATTCCTGTGTGACTGGAGCCTTCCAATGTGCACTAAGCGGCACAAAGAAAACAGCTGCAAACAAAACATTACACACAGATAATCAATAAATATTATTTGTGCAACGACGCTTAATGATATCGCGCTCTTTCTCTTTTTACTTTTTTATTAATACAATTCGTGCACAAATGTACGCTTTGCATGCATTACTATTACTATGAATTTCCTTCCGCGAACGATGTCTTTTTCTCTGGAATATTCCATTCGGTTTTTTACTGTTACCCATTTACATTACGTCCGAATTTCTTCTAATTCTAGGATTTTTCAGAATAAGTGACGAAAATAATATTTTTTATTTCGTAAGAAAATTTAGTCGCAGGATAGATAGGCCCTCTCAGTAAAGACAGAAGAAGATGAGAAACCGAAGGCGCTTGTAAAATCTTCAACTGCTTGCAAAGTCACAAGGAAGTGCTAACTAGCTATCACCATGAATGGTAAATTATAGAGCGAAGGAAGAAAGAGAAAATGAAAGTAAGCAGAATAAGAACGAGTCTTACGGATCGTTCAGCCACGTATGCTGCATGCTACCATATATACGCGCATGACAACGCTGCTCTCGTTAACTTCTCGGATCGTGCATGTGGCCTCGGAATAGCTCGAGATTGTTTGATGCTTGCACTACGAACGAAAATGGCCTGTTCGCTTCAAGGTTTACGAAATTAAGTAGAGTCCTTCGACTGTTGACGCCTACCGAAGAAACGTCAAGTCCCACTATGTAATTATTTCAAATAACATTCGACAACGAGGAAACAATGAGGAACAGTGTTTGCCGGTATCTTGATAAAATTATCTAAATAATCATTCAGATGAATAAATATATCATTTTTATCTTTATCTAGATGGGAGAAATACAAAATATATATTCATCTTAGATAGAGAAAAACATGTTATCTCATCTAAAAATTACGAAACGATATTACGGTCCATATCAAACTAGAGATTGGAAATTAGATTTCAACGAATCAATAAATTTCAGTTTTGTTTCCTTTGGTCTATTCTTTTTAGCTGCACTGCTGCAATTAAAAAGAACAGACCATTTGTTTCAATTGATCAATCCACTTTAAGTTCGTATCAAACTGTCGACTGTGAGTGAGCTGTTAATGATCATTGGTCTTTTTTGTTAGATCCTTAAATTTAGAGCGATTACGTTGACGAGTTACTTAACCGTTGTACAATTTTACGATTTATGTAATTTTTATTATAAATTTTTATAAAGTCTTTCATGAAAACAATATCATCTAAAAAAATTATCTAGATAAGTAGCGGCACTTATCTTTCATATAGATCAATTAAAAACAAAAACATCTTCGTCTCATCTAAAATGATTTTTTCGGATTTTTTCTCATTTTCATCTAGATGAATCTGAAATCATCTAAGGCAAACACTGACCAGGAAGCATGTAAGTATCTTTCGACAGGTTCCAAACATAGAAGAAAACGCCCGTTTGCCAATTTTAGTTCAACAATGATCTTCCATTTTGCATTTTTTATAAATCTTGCATTTTCAAAACAATTTGTACAGAGTAAGGCACTTATAAAGTGGGCTATTTCAATAATTCTTTTATTTTTAATGGTAAAAGCTCATGCTCTGGACGATAATTGTTTGTTCCGTGAACAATATCCAATAATTACATTATTTCGGTTGTAAATTGAAGAATCGAAGACATCTCTAAGACACTTTTTTAAAAATAGTATGTTATATTTTTTACCTATTTTCTAATAGAGTTTTAAAACGCGTAAAATAGATATATTGAAAGTCATTCAAAGTCAGTTATGAGAAAAATTTATTTCAAAAAATGGATCAAATACTTCCGTAATTTATTTATTTTTATATAACTGCTATTGCAAATGTTCCAAATAGTGACCTTGAATATTAATGCATGCTCTGAAACGATTTAGTATAAAAAATTCTGCATTTCTTGTTATATTCTATAGTTTTATACTCTGCATTCTAATTAAATTATCAGATTTATTTCTGTATATTAATATTTTATATTATATTTATATGGATGTATGAAGAATATTTATGTGAATATCAGAAGTTAATCTCGATAAGCTTGGAAATCTAAATTATTTTAGATTATATAGAGAAATTTGGCAAATATATAAAATTTTTAAAGAATTTTGCAGAATAATGAGCGGAACCAGTAGAAACATACTTCAAATTCCCATAATAATATTTGGCGAATAAAAACAAAGAATATTAAGCGAAGCTAAAATATAAACTACAAAAATCCTTACAAGAAAATATGGTAAAACTAAAGAGAAAGGAAAGCAAAAGTATGAAAATTAAAATAATCAGTAAAACATAAACATCTTCTCAAATATATACGATTTATTCCAAAAGTTCCCGAGTTTTCATTAAAACTCACTCTGTAATATAATAATTATAATTTTTATTTATAATCATTCGAAATATATCCCTTCCGAAAAAATATAATCTTTACAACAGTCATATAACTTTAGAAAACTTTGCTGAAACTTCTCCCCTTGAAATAACATCGTCAAAGCCTTCTGAATGTCCAAAATACTGTCAAACTGCTTTCCCTTTAGTTTCATTTTTAGTTTCGAGGACAAAAAATAGTCACACGCTGCCAAATCAGGTGAGTAACTAATGGGGAATGACCAATAACTAGGACCGATTTGGAAGCTGTACGCATGACAATGCATTTGTGAACATTATCATGTAGGAACGATCAGCCTGCCTTGTATTCGGTATTGATGAGGATGAACCCGATCAATTCTTGCCAGCAAACGCCTTCACAACGCTCAAGTAATAATCTCTGTTGATAGTCTTGTCTTGCGGAACGAACTCCTCATGGATAATCCCAATCCGAATCATAGGAAATGATGAGCACAGCTCGTCATTTTCCAGCGATTTCCTACTGTCCCGAAACCATTCACGGACCGCTCCTAAACTGATATACGGGATAGTATTTTGTCCCTACAAGCTTCTCATTGCAATAACATAACGTAACAATAAGCATAACATTGCTAATGTTTCTACGAACGTTTTGCCCAATTTCACACAAAACTTGATATTCGTTCGTTGCTCTCATGATTTCACGACGAATCACAAAAGTTATGCCGGTTTTATATTTGTGGTAAAATAACCGTTAGAGAATACCGATTCTCCTTCAAGGGGTTATTTTTATTTTTAACCCCCTAAACCGATTCCGGATAAACCGGGTAACACCAACGAAAAATTGTTTAGTCATTAGGTTTGCTTGCTCTATAATTCTGCAAAGTTTCAGGTTTATTGGAATTTACGCGTTGCCGAATGTCCTATGTCCTATGTTAGGTAGATATGGTCCACTTCAGATCCACGGATCAAGTCTCCCATATCTTAGTAGTGCAAGATAGTAGCATTGGCGATACGTTTGTCTAATTTTGGTTATACTGGCATTTATTGTGCAAATATTATCCAATATAGCCAGCCAGATAACGAAACTTACAAAAGTAGATTTTGCGCAGTATTTGCTACAAATTTTGTCGACATTTTGCTGGCGGAAATATAACAAGATTTGTTATATCCTTAGCAGAACATAATAACGAATATAACCTGTTAATTTAATCTAATCTCACATATTAATCTGTTATCACGCTCTGCTAGCAAATCTTTATATTTCTACTGGCAAACTGCCAAAATTTATAGCAGATATTACGCAAAATCTATTTTTGGAAGTTTAGCTACTCGCCTGACTTTATATTGGTTCATCAGTATACCCAATGAATTATAATAATTCTGGATACAATGTTACCTATTTAATTATATAACAATTTCTGTAATCATTTTAATTGTTAGGTGTAGCAAGACAATATAACTTGTTGTTTTACTTTCAAAGTTATATTTTGTATAACTTATTTAAATATACAAAAAATTTAGTAGAGATTAATTATATGATTATTCAATATCTTTTATTGCACTAATTAAAACACAGAGGTGACAGGGTCACCTGAATCAAATCTAGCACATCCCTGGGTCAAGTCTCCTAGAGTAGGAGACACATTTCGATTATTTTATTTAAAATGTAAATTATTCTAAAATTATTATTTTTTAACTTCGTTAATATGGTTGAATATTAAAATATCTACGACGATAAGGACGTTCTGATTTTCCTTTCATTTTTTAAGACATATTCGACAAAATCAAAAGAGGGTGTCAAGATTCCCCAGGTTCTCCTGATCTTATATAACATCATCACATTTTATACATTACATGTCATGATATGTACACATTACCTTACATAAGATACACATTTTATTGATCATACGAATTAGGTCCTGTTTACTGATTACATATCTCTAGAATAATTCTCTGAATATAGAGATCCGCCGAATATCATTATTATCAATATTTTTATCAAAAATATATGAATAAAATCGAGATTCTCGGTACGCTGGTCGAATAATACGACAACAGTGTATGTAAAGGACATTAATTACCATTGTTATCACTGCGAACAGTACAAATATATGGGTGTGGCTACAATTGGATTTTCATCATGAATATCGAAAAATATTGGTAAAGACCTCTCGAACTTGATAAATTCGATGACTTCAACGAACTCAACAGTCCACTCCTATCCTCACTGGGTTTGTAGTATTTAATGATCGCCAAGAAAGGATGATCGACGCGAACATTAATGGGCTCCGGCGGTTGCCAGCCAAGCGAAAGAGGTATGACAACAGCACCTGACGGAAAATGTTTGCATCAATTATCTGTTTCAATAGGAAGGTGCGCTCTTCTGTGTTCTGTGTGTGAATGGACGCAAATGAAACATGCTCCAGTGAAATACCACCAATTGTACCGATTCTATTCCTACGAGTGCTCTAATTAGCTAATGGAGACCAATTAGATTTCAGAGAACATGGGAAGGAAAATGGAACTTTGTGTCTACCAATGTCATTGAGACTACAAAGGGACAGACTGCCTAATAGCGAAAGATGTTAGTATATTTTACACATTTTATACGTGTATATTTATCATGACCATGTATATACGTGTATATACATTTTACATGTATATACAAGATGAGCCAGTTAAAATGTTACAAACTTATATCTCGGAAACAAAACATTTTAGAGGAAAATGTCTCATGCAAAAGTTTTGTGACTTCAAGGGAGACATATGGCAATATCATTGGCTTGAACTTGGATAGTCATTTGAAGATCACATGAAGGTCAATTTGAATTTGGAAACTCCCATTTTTCATTGCATATTTTTATAGCTTACCTCGAAGGCTTTTCAAAATATTATAATGAAATATTTTTTCATAAGGTACTTTTCGGTTGTAAGGCTTAAAATGATATAAAAGGATGCATATGAGCAAAAAATAAAAAAAAAAATTTATTCGAGATATTCAAAATGATGACCCTTACTGCGATACATTTTTTAATTATTTTATGAAAACATTCTCGGATACGTGCTAATATTTCTGAAGTCACACACACACACACACACACACACACATACACACACATACACAACAGAGATATAAATCCGAACGGACATTCTCCATGTGGTATATCTTGGATAATGCTAATTCCGGGAATATTGTAACTTTCAAGCTTTATAACTCAAAAAGTACTTAATGAAAAAATATTTCATAATAGTATTTTGAAAAGCTTTCGAGGTAAGCTACAAGAATATGCAAAAAGAAATGGAGATTTCTATTTAAGACATTGAAGGTGACCTTCATATGATCTTCAAACAACTATCCAAGATCAAACCAATGACAACATCGTATGTCTCTCAAAGCCACAAAACTTTTGTGAAACATTTTTTTCTAAAATACTTTGTTTCCGAGATATAAATTTGTAACACTAACTGACTAATCCCGTATGATATATATCATAACCAAAACCAAAGTCAGCCATTTCACAAATTATAATAATAATATAATATATAAATATAAATAATAATGTATGTTCTTAAAATTTGTATGCTATTTATATGTATAACTAACTATTAATTTTTTTTCTATAAAATTTAGTCGTATACTTATATTGTATATTAAAATATTTGATGACTTTTTTCCAAACGTTAAAATAATAATTTCTATTTCTTAATTATTCTTATTAATGAAATGTATTATCTCCTCTCTCTCTCTCTATCTCTCTCTAAAAAAAAGAAATATTACGAGGGCAATTTAAAAAGTTTGCGGTCTACCATATTAAGGTTAGTATCACGTTCCGTTTTTTATCGCATCTCGGCGCCATCTTCGCCCCATAAACAGCTGTGAAATATCAAGTTTCGATTTGCTGAGCTGTTAATTAAAAATAGCCGTTTAAATCTCAGTGCATCGTTGAAAATGGAGAAAATTAAGCATCATGCAGTGAACAAATATTTCGTCACAAAGTTTAATGTCAACATAAATTTTTAACGAGATGAAAGGTATATTGGATAATTCTGCACCTTCATTTGCTACAGTACAAAAATAGTCTGTTGAATTTAAACACGGTCGTGCAAGCTTGAAAGATGACCCCCGTAGTGGGTGCCCGAAAAATGCCATCACGCCAGAAATCATCAATAAAGTGCATGATATTGTTTTGGAGGATTGCTGATTGAAGGTGTCTGAAATTACTGAGGCTGCAGGCATCTCAGATGAAAAGATATATCACATTCTTTCTGAGAAGTTAGGTATGAGAAAGCTGTCTGTAAGATACCGCGTTTGTTGACAATTGATCAAAAACGCGAATTCAAGTACAGATTCTCAGAAATGTTTGGATCGTTTTAAAAAGAATCCAGAAAATTTTGTCCGTCGAATTGTAACGACTAATAAAACATCCATCACCATACTCCAGAAACAAAACTGTCAAAACAATGGATGCATAGTGGTTCTCAACTCCCAAAGAAAGGCAAGGTCAACTTCGTCTGCAGGAAAGTGTATGGCTTCGATTTTCTGAGTTGTTTTAAGGGGATATTATTAATAGATTATTTTGTGAAAGATCAAACGATAAGTTTGACAGTACTATGCTAAACTTTTTGACAAATTTAATGAAAAAATTCGCGAAGAAAGATCGAGTTTAGCAAAGAAAAAAAAAATCATTTCCTGTCGGGATAATGCACGACCTCGAGACACAAGTGTTGTTTCTATAGCAAACATTTTCAAGTTGAAGTGCGGATCTGCCGCCTCGTCTACACCTTATTCACCTGATATAGCCATCTACCTGACCTCCATCTTTTCCCTGACCTCAAAAAATTTTTCGGGGGCGGGAAAAGATTTTCCTCAGATGATGAGCCGAAAGCGGCAGTGAAACGGTTATTTTGAGGACCGGAAGGCCGAACTTCTGTGGGACAAAATGTGGGACAAAAGCACATCGCTAGACCAGGCGTATCGAAGTACAGAAAGATTGTATCTACAGAGAGATAATAACAATCGCTTTTCTTTCTACAATTAAAACGTCAAGGAACGCCATGTAATCTTTCGTGTAATTATTTCAGCAGATGACTTATAGTTTACACAAAAATAAACAAAATGATTATATTTTACAAAGAAATACTNTACACTTGACCCAGCGATGCTCCAACTTCTTTAACCCATCTGAAAAATACGTTTTCTCGAAGTCTGCAAAGTAGGCCTCCGTGGCGGCGATGACCTCCTCATTCGGCTAAATTGGTCGAATTGGACTACGAACTGCTGCCCCATCCACCGTATTCTCCAGATTTGGCCCCGTGCGACTTTTTTTGTTTCCAAACTTGAAAAAGTCATTCGCCGGGCAGAAATTTGAGTCGAATGAGGAGGTCATCGCTGCCACGGAGGCCTACTTTGCAGACTTCGAGAAAACGTATTTTTCAGATGGGTTAAAGAAGTTGGAGCATCGCTGGGTCAAGTGTATCGAGCTAAAAGGAGACTATGTTGAGAAATAAATCGCCACTTTCCCAAAATTTTCGTTTTTCTTTTGTAGGCTAAGTACTTATCGGACTGCCCTCGTATGTGTGTAGTTAATCATTATATGTTGATAATTGTTTTCATAATTGTTTATTTATGGACTACTGGCAAAGTTTTCTGCAATTTTTTCTGTAAAATCTTGCAACACACATACACACACACACACACACAAATATTATTATTTATATAATAAGTTTTATATAAATGCAAAGAATTAATATATTTTATCACAACAACTAATATATTGTGTGTTTCATTCAATACAAACATTTATATTATCTTTTAACACTTCTTATTCCTTTCCATAATAAAGATAACATTTTTACTTATTCCATTTAAGACATATACTTGGTTGCGGGACGTTTTCTTGATGCATGCACGAAATCCTACTTTCTGATAACATTGATCAATAATCGCGGTAAAGAAACAGTCTAAAATTATTAATTCTTCGTAGTTACGATATACCTTCCGATTTAACTACCAAAAAGTTCGAACGGTAAATCATATTTACACGATTGTAGTACTACAAACCATCATCGTTGACTAATAGTAGTTAAGCAGTTAGTTAGTTAAATAGTGTGTAATAATAACACAAGAATACAGATGCGTTGTAGGAACGCGAAGAAAAGGAGGAAAAAGAAAGAAAGAAAGAAATATATGAAAAGGTACATTTTGCAAATTAGCAAATCCACAGACATTGGAAGCGTATATGTGAGCGACATTTAGTTATTACACGTAGCTTCAAATTACATCAGCATACAAAATTACATGCGTGCCACAGAAACTCCGAGAATAATGAATTTTGAGTCTTTCATCGTATACAAACATGCACAGGCATAGGCGAACTATTCTTAAAATGATTTCTCAGAATTTCTTAGAAGCGAAAAAGAATCTCGACGTGTCCCAAAAGAAACAATGAGCGAGATATTATCTTGTTTTTCATATAAGATTATTATCGTTAGAGTCCGGATAAGTGTAGTCATTTCATTCAATGTCATCATTTCTTTGGTTTTTATCTTCATTAAACATTTGTACCGATAAATTTGATATTATAGGTTTTTGATATTTTTATAATAGATATTAAAAAAATATAATATAAATATAGTAAAAAATATTTTTATAAAAAGTATATAAATAATATTTACCGTAAATAATAACATCATTAATTGTACATAATTACTGATAATTTCGTTATAAAAATAATTAGTATTATTGTTACAATAATACTAATTATTATTATAATTATGGGATAGTTACGAAATAGAAAAATATAAATTTGGAACAGGAACAGATAAAATATGAGAAAAACTCGATGAAAAGTGTGAAAAATCGATTGCAGGAAATAAAAGGCAAAAATGATTCAAGTAATCATGATTTCAAGTTAATATTTCGCCCATCTTTGATAACAAAGAACAAAACAACAAACGAAGCAAAAGGTACTCACCAGTAACTGCGGCCGCCTCGCTACCTTCCTCATTAACTTCGATGAAAGCCTTCTGTACGACTTTAGAGATCTTCAGAGGCCGGTCTGAGATGCCGCTGAAGTTCGCACTATTAGAAAAAGGTTCGGAAAGACCCATCTGAAGGAGAAAGTATTACGTATTAGTTGTTGCGCCACACGCTTATTGTCGCATAATGGTTGATCGTCCGTGAATTGCGTTAAATCACACCTTATCGGACAACGTATCTCCAAGATTCAGTTTGGCCTCGACCTTAAACTTGGGCAAGAATAACTTGACCTCACGCTCATACGTTTGGCTGAGACGTGTGTTGCACGCTTCAGTCACGGCATCGAGATTGTTGGTCAACGCGGCCAGACCTTCGATTTCATTCGGCAGGATAATTACCATGCTGATCTGTGTATTCTGCGATTGCAATAACAATAAATAATAAATAAAAATTCCAAACACACTATGATGCGAGCATTTGCGCGAGAAAAAGGGGAAGGAGGAAAAGGAGGTTAAGAAAGCAGGAGAAAAAAACTGAAAACTCGAGAAAAAACGATTATACGCCCGAACCTGTGCAAAAACAGATTTTGAGCGAAGTCTGCTACAAATTTTCGATGGCAGAAAGGCAACGAATCTAACACAAAGGTTCTGTTCTATTATATTAGGTGGTTGCATATGAAACCGCCAGCTGGCAATAGATGGCGTTAGGTATACTATTTCTCCGAATTGAAAGTTGGCAATACACATGATGACAGGTCTATAGAGTCCCGCCAAAACGCCATAGGTGACATTTGTGCGACGCGTTAACATCGTCTATTTTGATTGTGTTTACAATGATAAGTTTTGTTCCAAATAAGTCACATTTGCAGGAAGTTATGCTCCATTACTTCCTGGCAAAGTAATCGCTCGCGGAAACGCATCGTTTGCTAGAGGAAGTGTATGCCGAACATGCTCCATCAAGCACAACGTGCAATGAGTGGTTTCCAAAGTGGTGGTTTCTCTATGGACAACAAGAACCACGGAAAGCCATCCAAAAATTTGAGGATATGGAAACCGCTGCTGAAACCGTCGGAAACTATCGCTGGGAATCGATTGTAACTGATCCGTTTGAAACTGTACGAGAAGAGACCGGAATAGTAGAATCGCCATGACAAGTTGATTTTGCAGCACGACAACGCCAGGCCGCATATTGCTCAATCAGTCAAGAAGTACTTAAGAAGAGTGAACTAGGAAATCCTACTCCACCCGCAATATTCCCCAGACATCGCTCCCTCTGATTACCATTCGTTCTGGTCGATACAGTCAGCGCTTACGGCACAGCACTACACCTCGTACGAGGAGTCAACAAATAGCTGGATAACTGGATTGTCTCCAAAGAATCCGAATTCTTCCTGCGTGGAATCCGATTGTTGGCCGAAAGATGGGCCAAGGTTATCTGGGCAACACTTTGAATAAACCAGTTCGTCGATTTGCTATCAAACCACTATTTTTTCTTTCGCTCAAAAATGGGCGGTTTTTTATATGCAACCACCTAATATTATGTTGCTTAACTGCTGCTAAGAAACGCAACAGAGCAATGTTGACGGGCAAAATGCGAGCAGATTGGCAGCAGAAACCGAGCGGAGTCTGTGATTGGCAGATTGGTAGCAAAAACCGAATATATCGGACAGTTTGAGGAAGCAAGCTCTGCGCAGCTTCTGCTGCGCAATTTACTCGCATTGTCTGTCAGCAGATTCTACCGCCAAAATACAAGCTGAATGCGGACACAAATGGTTATGCTTTTAGTGTGGGATTCTGATCAAATTTGCTGATCTGCGATTGCAGTCTGTGCTCTTATTGAGTTATATATATTATTATATACAATATAATTACATAAAATCATATGTGAATTTTGCCCATATACGTGGTTACATATATGATCGTACATGTCCACGAAAAAAATGAGATTATGTCATTTAATTAAATGCCGATATCACGTGCTATCAAAAACATAAGTAGCCGTAGAAGCATTTACTTCGATTATACTTGCATATCATTTGTAAACAACTTTGTATTTTGTTCGTTGTGATTATATATAGTCATATACAGGCAAATTTTATATATGATTTTTTTTTCTCAGGAACGTATCGCACCTTGTGCGTGTGATATATATGCACGTATGTGGGGCGATGAAATTTCACACAGTTTAATGAATTTCAATAATTTGTAGGAAGAAATATTACCGCGTATGGTAGTTCGATGCATTTGGCGTTAATTTCTGGCAAATCCAAGTATTTATAATAGCCTTTCCTGTACATAGTGGGAACCTGCTTTTCGGTGTTGGCGTCAATATGGAACGGACGGTCTATGGTATTCTTGGGATCGAATTCTTTGGCCCATTTGCCTTTGAAGTACACCGCGTTAGCGAGCACTAATGCAGTGAATGGATCCAAATCGTCTGATAAAAAATAAAATTCATCTTGTGAGATTCGTTTAGAATCAATAAATTCTAACATCTGATTTCCTCTCTACGTTATTCAAAGATATAAACATCCTGATGTATCTATATAATTTCTATGTAATTGTACATCTACGTAATTTTATTCTTTTAAATTTCTTCATCTCTCCGAGTTTAGAAATATCCTCTATCTCGAAATTTCTCACAATGAAATCTCACTCAACATGAATGAATATTTATTTAAAATGATAATAAAAATATTGTTACTTGAAATTGTAGGAATAAATGTTTCGCTTTGGTTTAAAATAAATTCTGACTGCATACAAATGAATCGCTCAATCGAATAGAACTTATTACTAAGGATCCGAAATGAACAAAGTTCTTTGGAGAGTAGATAATACTTATACGTATATAATGAAATTGTTAAAAACACTTCGGGATATATTTGCAATAATTCTGTCTTGTCATTTTTTTTTATTATAATATAAAATAGATGTATTCAAAAGAATAAAATCATATTTTCGATAGTCGTCAAAACGATCGATAGGTATAAAATGTAAATTGTTCTAACCAGGTTTAATGATGCTGTCGATGCGATTCTCGGTCTTTTCTTTGCACCAATTATTAATGGTATCTGCGGCCTGTTGGTTTTGTGTAAAGTCCACCGGCTGAATGTCAGAATAGAAATGAGTCTGGATATCATTCTTATATTCGGGTTTCACTTCGAAATTATTAGCGATAAACAACTTGTTGGCGAGTTTCAAGGTAACGTTCTCGACATTCTACGAGAAAAATAATTGCATTGTTTTTATTGTTCACCATTCCACCTTTTATGGTTCACCATTCGAAGGTTAAACATTTTGTAGTATTCTGCTGTTTAATAATTACGTTCAGACTACTGATGAGATTTTGGTAATTTTTGAGAGTCTGGGTCTGCGATTCGGGAAGGTGGAGAACATTCTTGAACTGGTTCTTAGTTTCTCCTTTGGAACCAATTGCAGCCATGCTCAAGGCAACATGAGCACTCAGAGGAGAGCATATCAAATTACCTTCCGTCTCTTTCGCAACAGTCTGAAAAAGTCATTCGTTATAAACACCGTGAGTTTCCTTACAATCGTAACGTAACAATATAAGTCCCTCTGTTTATTACGAATTTTATAATTTTGGTTAAAATCAAATTTAACAATATATTTCTTATCACACGATCATATCATTATTATTAAAATACGTGATGCGAAATTTAACTGATTAGTTGTGTTTTATCGAAATAAATCGTACTGATCTGATAAAACTTATAATTTTCAACAATTATTTTCATTGATGATATAAAAAAGTACTAACGTGACACGTAGTGATGTAAAAAAAAACTATCGAGTCAATTATGTTCTTATGGAATTTTTAAAATATTTAAATTACTTGCCTTAACGAAATTAGTAGAGAATAAACGGACACCGTTTGCCACAGTTTGATGGGAAGTAGATGTGGGAGTTGGCACGGCCATCGTTGATGCTATTAGCCAAAGTGCCAAAAGACTTCGATATACTATAATAATTAAGAAAAAGCATATTTTAACGGCAAATGCGACACAAAACTTAATAATTCTTAGTTTTAATATCGATCTTGTTAAAAATTTCCAGATGAACTTTTCCTGGAAATCCAAGGAAATTTATGTGAGTCCATATAAAATATTAAAAATATAGGAATCCACATGATGTGTGAAAATTCATTTATATATATAGTAATTTTATAATCCGAAAAAGGATGTTTTTTTATCATTTTGGCCGTATTGTCAAAAATATATACTAGACGTTTCTTGTGCTGCTCTTAGAGGAATGTTTAAATTAATAATATTTGTACATCATTTGAAGCCATTTAATTAACGCTCCATAATGAAAATTGTAAGTCTTCTGGTTATAAAGTCAGATAATTCACACAACTGCATATGAATACACAATAAATTTTGCATCCGTGAATAAGAAAATATGAAATCTATTTTAATTCGTATATTTACGTTTACCTTTTTTCTATTTATATTTTTAACAATACGGCCAAAATTAAAAAAAAATCCTTCTTCGGATTATAAAACTACTTAACTCGTTTCCTGTATAATTTTCATGTGGAAATTAAAAAATTTCATTTAGAAATTTAACTGAAATAATGACGGTAAATATAATAATAAGGAAAACTTGCAATCGTACGACGAGAATATCCGCGTACAAATAATGTCGCAATTACTTCGTCGTAATTATACAAACATTGTTCGGACCATACATGTGCAAACCCCAAGGTCGATGATTCAAATCAAACATCTCTACTCATTTCTATCTTTAATCGCGCGACATAAAATATGTTCGTGACTCATTGAACTGTTTATGCTTAACAACAAGACTTCCTGATCGTACGATGCTATTCATAATTTTACGAACAACCGAAGATGTAAAAAAAAAATGATTTAAATAATGACTATATACTTCATGACGTCGCCGTATAGCAAAAAATTTTGTGCTAAATTTAATAGACTTCATATGTTCCAAACAGTCCACACAAATTTTTGTGTTAATTTAAGACACTCCGGGAAAAGATGATTATATATGATTATATATGATTATATATAATATATATATTATATATAATTATATATAATTATATAAAATCATATATGAATTTTGCCCAAATATGACTATATATATTCATATATAACGAAAATATATTGTTTACAAATTACATGCAAATACAATCGAAATAAATGCTTCTGGCTACTTATGCTTCTGACAGCACATAATATCGATATTTAATTAAATAATATAACATCATTTTTTTCGTATATAGACGTACGATGTACAAACATATATGTGACCACATATATAGGCAAAATTCATGTACGATTTTATATAATTATATATATATTCGTATATAATTATTTTTTTCCGGGTACGATCGAAATTTCCCAAAATGATCGAAGAGAGCGAAATAAGCAACTGTGTGAAACGATAACGAAGCGATAATAAATAATGTCTCAGCACATAAAACGCGACCTCGGTGCGCGTTCCGTCAAGTTAACGAGAATCGAATGTTTGAATATTATATAACGTAACGGTGATAAATACGGTAACGAAGAGATACGGATAATTTCATCGAACGGATCACTTACAACATAAGAAAAATTTGTGTTACACTTAATACATGTTCCAAACAGCCCATATAAATTTTTGCCTTAATTTAACACGAGGTAAATATGTTAAAAAATAACGTAAATATTGTGTCGAAAATTAACACAAAATTAATGTTAATCGACACCGAAATATAAAATGTATTATTTTACATATGTTGAATATCAACTCAACACAAAATATTGAGATAACATAAATATAATGCGTTAAATTAACACATGAATATGTTAAAAATTTAATACAAAAATTTTAACAAGTACCGATTTAAAAATAATTTTACCTTTCTATTAATCTAATTCTCGGTCGATTTCAATTTATTTAATACAACGACACTTCGATATCAAAAGGCCGAAATTTTTTCAATTTGGTTTTATATGGAAAAAAAGGCTGATGAGCCTAGAAAATATTGTATACATAACGCGTTATTGTGCTACAACTTCGAAAAAGGGAACATGATTTGTTGCTAAGCTGACGTGGAATAGTGTACTGATAATAATAATGAACGAGAGCACTTCGATATCTATACCGTTATGTTCACGTTTCTTCTCTGTCTCATCGGGAAAAACCCATCAGGACGTAAATTCAACAGCTTCGTTATATGTGTGTGCAACTAATTGCTTACGTCAATTAAAAATATGTGACGGCCAAGTTCACATTTGACCTTGTTCGTATGCAACAGCTTTCTCGGTAAAGAATACTTCCACATGTTGAAGGAGGAAACAAAAAGAAAATTCATCATTTTAAGAGGCAAATTCGCGGTAAAAATACTCGAGGCTTGACGCGTAATTGATCAATTAAGTTGTGTAATTCCCCATGCAGGAATCGTATATAGTCTGCCAATACAAGATACTGACACGATACCGGACCGGCACCAAAAAGCAGACGTCATCTTTTGTTATTGGCCCAATATCGGTCCAAACGTTTATAAAATATCTTAAAAATAAAGATATTAAATATTTTGTAAATGTTCAAATGTCCGGAAAATACAACGTAGAAAGATTAGATAAATATTCTGAGAGAGAAATATTTTAAAAATTATGAAGAATATTCGATAATAATTATGGTATTGATTTTCGGTATTTTTACGATATCGGCCTGTTTCTATCGTTCCAATGTTAAAGCAGTACTGGAATACAGTTTTAGTTTCGTACAAGAGTGTGAAAGTAAAACGGGTTGAACTGAGTAAAAAAGTTCTCTACTACCTTGCAAACAACCATGAAAAATTCCGAATGATCAATTATTGAAAATGATCATATATAGAAGTTTCTTTAATTGATAACTGAAAAATTTACGTGTTATGTTCAAATGACAACTGTTATACGTAGCGACAGACAGATCAGTATGTTAAACCTTAAATTTCGAACCTTGAACGTTGAATCGTTAGATACAACAGTCATATATTTGTACGTAACATATCAGATACTCTATATAATTATATAAGGTAAATATATAGAAAACTGGTGCTACCTCCGATGGGCTTGACCTTGACATATGTTATAGAGGTCACTCTCCTGAATGAACAATGAGCGACGGGTAAAACCTTCGGAAGGTTACTCAGGAGAGTGATCTCTACTATATATGTCAAGATCAAAGTCACTGGAGGTGGGTCTCCTACAGTAAATACGTGTACGTGTTTCAAACTTCTTTTATTAATAATTTTTTAGTGAATAATCAGTGACGCATAAAACCTTTTGATTGTTACTCAGAGCCATGTCCTTGGTAACATATGTCAAGATCAAGCCAATCGAAGGTGGCACCAGTTTTCTATATATTTACCTTATATAAAATTATATATGAAATCATATATAATTATATATAGGCAAATATAATTCCAAATATATAATTATATATATTCGTACACACTCATATATGAATATATATAAGATTATATATAGAATTATATATACTCATATATGATTACAGAGAATTTATATATAATTATATATTTCATATAATTATATTTAATTCTATGTAATATATATGATATATATAATTATATGTAATTATATATGATTATATGTAATTATACATGATTCCACATATGATAATATTATTGTATATTATACAGGCGATTATATACGTATTACATACAACCATGTATATGCCCAGATAACATAAAAGTCCAAAAGATATTCTAAAATGTCCGAAAGAGCTTCAAAGAATTTATGACGTTCTTTGGATGTCTTACATCTTTCGGACTTTTGTGCTATTTGGATGGTCATAACATGTAATATAATAAAATATAATTTA